TCAGTCCGCAGGCCGACGCTCTATCCACTGAGCCAAACCGGTTTCAGCTATATTTTTATTTTCAAGTGTCCTTGACAGAGAGGCGTTGGTATGTGCCTCCCTCCCCCACCCCCACATTCCACATCTCAGAAACACATGGATTCTTTCATCCATATTGAATCACCTTGAACACAATAATATTAAGATGAAGAGAGGCAGAGGTTGTGGCTAGGGCAAGCTCATGAATAAATTATAGCACATCTCCGTTTCCAGTACTAGAGACAAGAGCCAAAGGTCACATGTCCTTTCCTCTTATTCTCCTGCCTAGATCCTAAGAAAAGTATTGCTAATCTGCAAAAATTTACAGATCCCGCCTGGGGAACAAGCACAGTGGGTGGGATGGATGGAAGACTTGGGAATTGTTTTTGCTCCCCAGACCCTAGACGTCTACTCTCTCCTTCCAATGTCGCTGTGATTTGAGACTGATCTCAGTCTCCATGATTTGAGACTGAATGCAGGGCTATGTCCTCTCCACAGGTCTGGGTTCCGCCCCACACATCCACATGGAGGGATCCGTGGCAGGCGAGATCCAGCTTGTGTGCACGGCGGAAGGCTGGTTCCCAGAGCCCCGGGTTCATTGGGAAGACTCCAGGGGAGGGAAGCTGCTGACTCTCTCTGAGCATCACATCCCGGATGAGGATGGCTTGTTCCACGTGGAAGCCACGCTCGTGGTCAGGAACGCCTCCACAGAGACTGTGTCCTGCTCCATCCACAACCCTGTCCTCACCGAGGAGAAGAGCACAGTCTTTTCCATCCCAGGTCAGTGCTCTGCCCCCAGGACCCAGATGCTCAGATTAGCGGGAGAGGTTCCGGGGACTGCTGCAGAGCACTGGATATATTTTTAATCAAGAAAATTATCTAGCATTTAATAATTTGTATTGAAAGCTATAAAACATTTATGACTAAAATGTATACGTTATATTTTGATTGAATAGCTATTGCTAATGGTGTTTCAATTATTTCCAAGTTCAAGATTTTATTACTCACAAGTATGCATGACATTGTATAGGGAAAAAAAATATATTCTTTCAGCTGAAATGTTTTCTTATGTGATATCGTGCTGGTTACTTCTAGGAACTTGTCATATGAAGATAATCAAAGATGGAGACAATTATTTATACAATAGCATCCTAATTATAGCCTTACTGGTAAATAGCAATAAAAACAATAGCCCAATGAAATTACATTATAGCATCAATGAAAAATAATAATGGTTGAAATTTTAATGGTTGAAAAAACTCTTCGTTATGGACTATTTAATGGCAAAGATTACATCTGTCTATTATATATCTATATAGTAAATAGGCATTTCCAATCCTGTAAAGATTTTTGGGCTTTTGGGATGCCATACATATTTAGATATAAGGATATAAGGACAGAGCTATTCTTATTATAGATGAATACAGAAAAAATTGAAGTAAATGCTACATGTTAATATTAACAGGGGACACACTATGTTTTATCTCTCAGTCTGGAATTAAAGGTGATAATTGTCTAGGTCCATATACGTTATACTTTCCATGCATTTATTAAAAGAGTATGTATTATGAGGTGGTAGAACTGAGAGCGTTTTTGTTGTTCGGAGGAAAGGAAAAGCAGCTGAACCACGAGGAAAGAATCAATATTTTTCTACGGTTAATTTATTTTTTATGAATCTGGATTTCCAATAAAATGTAGGACTTGCTTTTATTTTTGTGAGATATTTTAACTCCTTTTTCTTAGAAAAAATTGCTTACTTAACATGTTGTTCTTGTTCTTTTTTCCAGAGAAACTCCAAACTGAGCTGGGTAAGTAGCAGCACGCCCATGGGTGTGGATGAGGCCCTGCACTGCCTGGAAGGAGCCAGGTGCCCTGGGCCTAGCAGGCCCCAAGACACCGCGTGATCCCCAGGCGGAGTTTCCCCCCTCTGGCTCCCCTGTGCCACACTGCCCCTTGCCCAGGGCACTCCTAACCTCATTACCACGGGACTTGCTTTCCCAGGTGCAGCCTGGGACCCTGTGCTGCCTGGGCTGATAATTCTCCATTTTTGACTGTTTTGTGTTTTTCTTTTTTACTTAATAGTTGGACTGCAGGTATTTTACTGTGCCTAAGATAAGTGTTTTAAAAATAGCCAATTGATATGTGCATGTATTTCGCTTTCTCCTTTACTTTGTTTTTGTCTTCCTCCTTTTTGTGACCTCTTCTCCTGGCCCATGACCACAGCCTGCACCTGCCCAAATGCATATGCACTTGTGTCACTCATCTCTTCCATCCACACCCTGCTCTCCGCCACTGTTACAGGAGTGTGTGTGTGTGTGTCTGTGTGTGTGTGTGTGTGTGTGCACGCCCGCCTGTGCGCACATCAGATGAGCATAAGCACACTTCTGTGCCCATGTAGGGGTTTCTAGGAACATCAGGGTGGCAAACACTCCCCAATATTTCCCAGAGTTTAGTGTGACACTTTGGACCCCAGTGGGTCATAGAGATAAAGGAAAGGGCCTCAGGAAGTTCAAAGGTAACTCCACAGCTGAGGAGAACTGTACACCTGTGTGGATCCCTTTCTGTCCGGGGAAACATCTGCTCACGATCAGACAGAAACCTTCCCCAGCGGCGCTTGTCAGTTACAGATCAGAAAGCCAAGCCGGTGTTGGGCAGGTTGGCACTGGTCTCTGTCCTTCAGGAAGGTGTTAGGTGAAGTGTCATCCTCTGAGTTATGGGGACCGACGGACATGCTCACTGGCATCCCAGCACAGAGTACAGCCTGAGGCTGTGCAGTTCCTGAGTTGTGCTGGCCTCTGGGACGCACTGAAACCAGAAGAGAGCCCAGCTTCTCCAGGCTCGGAGGCTGGGCCCTCCGGAGCCCGGGGTGAGCTGCTGAGGAGGCAGGAGCGTCAAGCTGCCTCCTATTTTCCTCAGGAATTAGGGCTCCGAGGCAAAGGGGGGTTGGCAGACCGAGCTCTCTCTGGAAGTCCCAAGACAGGAACCCCAGCTCCCGCTCTGGCTAATGTTGTTGGTTTATAAAAATAATGACTAGTTCTTCGAAATATTAATTATATGCTGGGCACTACGCTAAGTGCTTTACAGGAATTATTTCCTTATGTTATTTATAAAGGTTAATAGATTTATCCTCATTTTACAGTTGGGAAATAATCTTAGAGACATATGTGGTTTGCTAAAAACTACAAAGAAATTGTGGTGTTTGCTTTCTAACCTATGTCTGACTTACGGGTGCAAGTTCTTAATCATTTATGTGTGATTTAAGTAAAGCATTGGCACCTATTTTTCTCAACTTTAAAATGAACATGTTGAATTTAATCTCTAAAGTGTCAGCTTATAAGAGTGTTGATATAATATGATAACATATGTAGTATAGCCCTGGCTGGTGTTCTCAGTGGTTAGAGCGTCAGCCTAAGTACCAAAGGGCTGTGGTTTGATTCCTGGTCAAGGGCACATAACTCGGTAGCAGATTTGCTACCCACCCCTGGTTAGGACCTGTGTAGAAGGCAACCAGTTGATCTCTCACATTGCTGCTTCTCTCTCTCTCTCTCTCTCTCCCTCTTCCTCTTCCCTCTCTTTCACACTCTGAAAATCGATGGAAAAAATATCCTCAGGTGAGGAATAAAATGAAACAAAACATATATAGAATAGTATAATATAATTGAGCATATCGGGGAATGAGATAGCCCCTTAATTGGATATGCTGACTGAATGAGGATTGTATGTTATGACGGTGAGATGGTCAGGTTTCAGGGAATGAGTGTGTAAGTTGGTGGGCTTCACACTCCAGAAAGGTTTTAATTTTTCAGTGAATATTCCGAAGGCATTTCAGGAGCATGCGTCCAATTCACAAAACTAAAACTAAACAGGAAGTGTGAGCATGGATTGGGGGTGGGGTGCTGTATGGGAAGGGTGTGTAGAGCTGCCCTCAAGTTCTTTCCCTGGTGGAGCATCAGTTCCTGACAGGCCTGCAGGGCTACGCGGGACTTTAAACTCGATTTTCACTTGGATTCTGGAAGAACAGGAGTTTCATGTATCTATAACACACCTGATTCTACCTCCAAACTTACATTTTGCTTTCTTCAGTTTCCATTAACATCAGTTTTAGCTTTTTATTAACCGGTGCCTGGCAGGGTGATCCAGTTTGACATGCACCGTGGGCCATGCACCGGGGAAATCCTCAGATGGTAGCAGAGATGAGGAAATGGTCGGTTTTACTGAGTAATTTACTGTCAGACACACGGGTGGAGGAATAGCAGCAAGCTAATCCCTACATCATTTTTTCATTATAAAAATTGAAAGCATAGTTGGTATACAATCTTATCCTGGTTATATTAGTTTCCGGTGTACAGTATAGTGATTCAACATTCATATACCTTACAGTTGTGATCACCCCACTAATTCTAGTAATTATTTGTTTACTTTTTTAACTCTTACATTTGTTTTTAGCCTTTAACAGATACACATGGAATGGATACATATTTTATATTTCAACAGATACATACTGTTTTAGGTAAAATTGAAGGGCCAACCAAACAAAATGCTGGAAATAAGTGGGAATCTAATTTTAGCTAGAATAGAAGGAAATAATCTGAAAATTAGAACTGTGTCAACGTGAGTTTTCTCGCCAGAGCAGTATCTAGCAGATTTTGAATAATTACATAATGAGGATATTTTTGCCTTTGGTTATTGAGCCCCATTCAGATGATATGCAAATCTATGCCTGTCTTTCTAATATAAATGATCACAACATATGTGGAAGCTTCCCGACCATTTGATAGGAGAGGATGACTCTTCATTTATAATAGGGCAAAGCTGGCGTGGCCAGGGCCGGGGAGCTGGAGGTGTAACAGCTCAGAGCCAGGAGAGCCGTCCAGGGACCCTCATTCTCCAAGATCAGACTCCGCCTGTGGCTTCATCTTCCTGTTGCATTCTGTATTTTGCCAACCTCCCCCATTCTTGATCTTATTTTTCTCAAAATCATCTGGGGACATTGAACTCGGTGTGTTTAGAGCCCCACACATGTGCACCTTGGGCAACTGAAATATGATGGTTGATCTGACTTCTAAGGTTTAATGAAATTGAACCAGGAGAAGGTTTCACATTTGATTACTACGATCCACCTGACACTAACTTCCATGCCCCCCTTGTCAAGGAGGAGAGCGGGGTTTGCTCCAGTGCCCTCAGGCCTCAGGCTGCATGCCTCCACTCACACTGATGGCCATCCAAGAGCTTTGCACCTTTTATTTTGTTGACTCCAGAACAACCTCATGAGTTTGTAGGGATATATTTGTTTTATAGTTTAAGAAACTGAGGCATACACTGATTAAGAGTTGTTAATGTCATGCAAATTTGAAAGGATAAAGTATTAATTGTATTCTAGAAGTTTTAATTGCAAAATGATCTTATTGGGCTGTAACCTGAATACAATTGTAGCTAGGGGCAGGTGAGGGCTTTGTTAGTGAATTTTTCAGACTGACAAACATGATGGGATGGTTCGGCCTTGAGCAGAACAACCTCTATCCTGATCACACCAAACACCCTCCTCGCCAAAGGGTGACCTTGAGCTTCGAGCTCCCCTGGGGTGCTGGTGGGACCTAAACCCCACTTGAGATGTTGTTGCAAATGACAGTTATTTTTGCTCCATTTTGAGTCTTTTGTTGTGGTTTGTTTTTTTTTCTGTTTTATTTAATAGCTTCCTTAAAAGTGATTGGACCTACCCAGCCCCTTCTTGTCAGAGTGGGAGAAGACATACAGCTAACCTGTTGCCTGTCCCCCGAGGCCAATGCACAGAGTATGGAGGTGAGGTGGGTCCGGGCCTACCGTTACCCTGCTGTTTATGTGTATATGGGCTTCCTTAAAAGTGATTGGACCTTCCCAGCCCCTTCTTGTCAGAGTGGGAGAAGACATACAGTTAACCTGTTGCCTGTCCCTCGAGGCCAATGCACAGAGTATGGAGGTGAGGTGGGTCCGGGCCCACCGTTACCCTGCTGTTTATGTGTATATGGATGGGGACCATGTGTCTGCAGAGCAGATGGAAGAATATAGAGGGAGGACAGTGCTGGTGACTGACGCCATGAGCGAGGGGAGGCTGACCCTGCAGATACACGATGCCAGGACTTCAGACGATGGGCAGTACCGGTGCCTTTTTGAAAAAGATGGTGTCTACCAGGAGAACACCTTGGATGTGAAGATAGTAGGTAAGGGTTCTAGATAGATGTTTGGTTCCTACTGCTTTAACATGGTAGTTCTGGGAAATTTCCCCGGCATCCGAAATTTTCTTAATGTCATTCACTCATCAAATTAATATTGAACCCTTTGATGTGCAGTAACTGCCATAGATACTTAAAGTCCACAAACTCAAATGGACCAGATTTAATTCCTTGGCTACCGAATTTGTACCTTTCTTAGGATCTCCATAAAGCGGCCATCCCTTTAGTGAAATGTGAGAATTTTTTGCCATAATTTTACACAGCCTACTATTCACAGAGTGTTATTAAAATTCTGTGAAATGTGACCATAATTTTACACAGGACTCACTGCTTCACAGAGTGTTATTAAAATTCTGTGAAATGTGTTGTTACTGGGAAGTGTAATGATTCAAAAGTTAAACTAGATCCACATATAAACAAAAATAGTAAATACTGACAGAATTGGCAGGCTGGAGGAGGAAAGACAAAATTGTTGCCTGCCTCACAATTTGCCACTGTCTGTATCTATGAATGAAATGGATTTTCCAAGGCTAGCAAATGCCATTGAAGGCATAGGCCAACATCTTGGATGCTGTGCGTGGTTCTCCCATTGATTTTGTGTCTAAATTAATAAACACATTTAGGGAATATTGACAGGAGCACATGTGGAGGAGTTGAATGGACTCCATCACTTTCTGCCACTGGACGTACAGACAGGGTGCCCCCCTCCAAGTGTGTACACACTTGAACAGGTGACAGCTCAATTTTGAAAATGAATGAATTTTAACAAACACTGCCTTTATAATTCTTCAAAGTGTGTGTATACATTTTTGGGGGCACTCTGTATTTATAAGATTTTGATCTTGGAAACTATATTATTTTGCTTATTGACTCACTTCCTGGTCATGTGCTTTATGCCCTGGTCAAAATAACTTTGTTCTCAAGTAGAGAAGAAAAAAGATTGGATTTGAAATTTATTGCATCCTTTAATAGGTCCTAGGATAAGTTTAGAAATACAAAAAAAAAAGCCAACACAATGAAACAAAAACAAACCACTCCGGGCAGACTCACCCCTCAGTGGAGGATCATTCCCCGTAAGCTTTGCCCTGCCCACTCAGTCTCCCGTCCTCTCAGTGATCTCACTGCTCCTTTGGCCACTTGCAGACTGAGGTCTTGTGTCCCGATCCGTATTCCTCAGGTCTGGGCTCTTCCCCGCGGATCACCATGGAGGGCCTGGCGGACGGAGAGATGCGGCTGATGTGCTCGTCGGAAGGGTGGTTCCCACAGCCCCGCGTGCAGTGGAGGGACTTGGAAGGGAGGACAGTGCCCTCGTTTTCCGAGGTGCTGGCTCAAGGCAGCGATGGGCTGTTCCGCGTGGAGGCCTTCCTTCAGGTCACAAACAGCTCTGATGGCAACGTGACCTGCTCCATCGGCAACCCCCTTCTCGGCGAGGAGAAAATGACAACATTTTTTCTCTCAGGTGGGTGACTCCAGGTGATCCTCGCAGCCGTGGGAATGAATATGAGGCCCACCCAGAGGTTTTGTTTTGCTCACGGTGGATTTTCTTCTGGATTAGAAACTAATTTTCCTTAACACCATCTTCCTGGCTGTGGCCTGGCCACTGTATCCTCCCCGCTCACTTTCCACCTTGCTGTCCACTGATCGTGGTGATGTAGCCGGAACAGAGAGGGGAGAAATGTGTGTGTGAGTGAATGTGTGCATGTGTATGTGGGGTGTGTGATTGTACGTGTGTGTGTGGGTGAGTGTGTATGTTTGTGTGTGTGTGTTTGTGTGAGGATGTGTGTGCGAATGTGAGATGTGTGTATGTGTGTGACTGTGTGAGTGTGTGTGACCGTATGTGTGCGTGAGTATATGTTTGTGTGCATATGTGTGTGAATATGTGTTTGGGGGTGATTGTGAATGTGTATGTGTGTGAGTGTGTGTACATGTGTGCACTATGTGAGTGTGTGTGTGTGTGTGTGTGTGTGTCTGTGAGGGAAAAACAATAACCTAAACTTCACTAAACTTCAGCTTCTGCAGGGCCGAGAGGAGCAACTGACTTCCTCCCTGAGGCCCAGTCCCACCTCCTCTCCAGCTCAGGAGTTGGTCAGATACAGTTGGAATTTGCCCAGTTTTATGATTTAACTAGGGGCACAGTGCACGAATTTGTGCACCTTGAAAGGAACTGTGGGTCGCGAGGCTGTGGTGAGCACAGGGGTGGATGTCAGCCCATCCTCCGCGCCCCTGCCCAGCCCTTACTGCTGTGGCCCCCATCCCCTGTCTGCTGGCAGCCCTGCTCCCTCCACTGTCACTCCATGCACTGACAGCACTGGCCCTGTTCACATCTGCTGCTGGCACCAGCCCCAATGGCTTTACGCTGTCAGCGGGTACGAGCGGGGCCAGCACCATCAGCAGGTGTGAGCCATGGCTGCTGTCCCAGTCGCCCCTCAGGAGCAGTGGGGAGGTGGAGAAGCCCTCAGGGGCAATCAGGGCTGGCAGCTGCCGCTCACACCCGCTGATGACACCAAGCGGTCGGGGCCCATGCCAGGCACCATCAGTGGGTGCGAGCAATGGCTCTGGTGCCAGCAGCAGGTGCAAGTGGGGTCAGTGTCGGCAGCAGGTGCAAGCACCAGGTGGGACTGTGGCGTGTGGGAGCAAAGAATTTTCAGTAACCACCAAAGGCTCACCCTGATGAGTGACTGGTGCCCTGCCTTGGTCTGA